TTCACTAATAATGGAAATGTATAATTGCCAGATTGAAATGCCCTGAGGCAGGTTCTGAGAACAGTGTCATGGACACTCGAGCATGCTGTGTCACACATTGACAGTTATGCCAGAGCCTTTTACTTTATTTTACATTATTTTGAGATAAACTTAGGGACTCTCTCATCTCAATTTGCTAAAGCTCCTAGAACATTACTGTGTGGGGGTTCATAGTCATCTAAGTGTCCCTGGCTCATCAGATGTATTTATTTTAATTTTGTGTGTGTGAGTATTTGTTGGCTTGCATTATGTGTGTTATGAGTATATAGTGCCCAAAGAAAAGGGTGTTGGGTCCCCTGGAACTAGAGTTACCACCAGTTGTGAATCTCTCTTTGAGTCCTGGGAACTGAATCCCAGTTGGGGCCTCTGCAAGAGTAACCAGACTGTTAACTGCAGAACATTCTCCAGACCCCCTTCTGACTCTTCACTTTTATTTTTTTGTTTTTATTTTTTGGTTTGGTTTGGTTTTTGTTGTTGTTGTTTTTCCAGACAGGGCTTCTCTGTGTAGCCTCGGCTGTCCTAGACTCACTTTGTAGAGCAGGCTGACCTCGAACTCACAGAGATCTGCCTGCTTCTGCCTCCCGAGTGCTGAGATCAAGGGTGTGATTCTTTTTAATCCAGGTTTTTTGAAGCTGCTACATTTCTCATTTGTTGTGATTAAACAGACAGGAAATCCAGATATTTAAGAATGATGGTCCATTATTAAATGAAGAAATGATAACGGTGCCATAAGTAAATTGTCTTAACATAAATGCCCCACGAATTGTTTTAAACTCATGTTTAACATAAATTATTTCATCATTGGGGAGAGCAAACATGGTGATAATATGGTTTAACTATACGGATAGGCTGGGATGGATCTAATAGCTTTAAAAAAAAAAAAAAAAAGACCCAGACTAGGCTTAAACTCACCATGTAGACAAGGGTGGCTCTGAAATCCTAATGCTCCTGCCTGCACCTCTTGAGTGCTCGGATTATAGGTGTACTCATCACATTTGGTTTTATGTGGTACAGGCAATACAATCCAGGGATGCGGCATGCTAAGCAAGCACGCTACCAAATGAGATACGTCACCAGCCCGGTTAGCCAGGTTTATGCAAGTATCATATTGTGAACGTGCAGAAACCAAGACAGCATTCGTCAGTCCCTCTACTTGGCATCATGATGCAATTCTGACTCAAGTGAACACACGCTGCCTGAAGCTGCAGCTGCTGGGACATGGGCACTGCTTCACAGTAAACTTCTCTGTGTGTAAGAGTTCAGTCCCAAATAAATAAATTTGCTTGTGTTGTTGTTGTTGTTGTTGTTGGTTTCTTCAAGACAGGGTTTCTCTGTGTAGCCTTGACTGTCCTGGACTGGCTTTGTAGACCAGGCTGGCCTCAACCTCACAGAGATCTGTGTGCCTCTGCTTCCCCAAGTGCTGGGATTACAGGCATGTGCCACCACATGCCTGGTTTCAAATAAATAATCTTAAAGAACATCATGCTTACTGTTTTTGAAGAGGACCTGAGACCTGATCCCAGCACCCATAGTGGGCAGCTCATAACCACCACCCTCAATTACAGTTCCAGGGGAACCAATGCCTTCTTTTGTGGTCCTGACACCCGTGCACACATACACATAATTAATCCCCAACACAGGTACACAAGCATAATATAAACAATGACAGTCAATCATGACCAAATATTTTCTGGCACTGGGCATGGTGTGCACACCTCTAATCCTGTCATGTGGGAAGCAGAGGCAGGTTGATCTCTGAATTCTGGCCTAGCCTAGTCTACACAGTAAGTTCCAGGCCAGCCAGAGCTGCACAGTGAGACCCTGTCTCAAGAAATATTTTTTTTCAGCACATAATTGAATTCCTCGGCTTATACAGTTTGCAGCGCATTTTACACCAGCTATTCCCCAAATACATGAGTAATCCAGTGTGTTAGGAACTTACTGTAAAGCCACAAGGCAACAGAAATGTTTTTTAGATGTATGGCAATTTTCCATCCACTTTGGACACAGTATCACTCTGTACTAGTCTGACTGAATTTGCAGTAGAAATCCTGCTCTCTCACCTCATGAGTGTTATAGATTACAAGCAGGAGCTACCACACCTGATTTCTACTATGATCTTATGGAACTTTCACTGAATATTCAGCCTGTCATCATCTCAAACACCACTTTGTATCATGACTATATTTAATAAAATAGTTGGAGATGAACATTCTCTTTCTTTCTTTTTTTTTTTTTTTTTTTTTTTTTTTTTTTTTTTTTTTTTTTTTTTTGGTTTTCTGAGATAGAGTTTCTTTATGTAGCCCTGGCTGTCTTGAATTTGCTGGCCTTGAATTCACAGAGATCTACCTGCCTCTTCCTCCCAAGTTCTGTGATTAAAGGTGTACACCACCACTGTCAAAGGTGAAGATTCTAATTTAATGAGTGCCTATAGTATTCATTTCTCTCATTCAATAGTTTGTTGATACTGTTTTGGGTTATTGAAGAATATTTTCATATGTACACAGCTCAAATGCAATAAATGTTTTGTGAAATGGGCTAAGGCTATGACTGACACTGTGTAAAAACTGTACTCTTGCAAATGAGTGGGATGATCATTTTCATTTAAGACCCAAAGGCCATGAAATGTATTGGTTACAGGACAGTAAAGATTTTCTGGTAAATTACTAACAGCTGAAGGAGCTTGGGTGCATAGCTATCAAGTGTCCTTAAATGTGAGCAGGACAGGTTTTTCTTCCTGCTAATTTGCTCTCTTTACACTGAGCTGTTGTGAAAACAGGACCCTCTGCTTTCCAGGACAAGTGTGGCTTCTCCACAGCTTTAAATACTCACTAAGTATTTTGTCTTTGAAAATCATATGGGAAGTTGTTGTTGCTGTTCCTGTTTTCAGTGCTAGGAACGTCAAAAGTGATACCACTAGCCCCGATTAATAGTTTAAATGATGAAATACTGAAAACAGGATATTGCCAGGTTGGCTGCAATGCCCACAATCCTATTCTCCTCTTTTGCTAGCACAGCTTTAATTTGACTGGGGTTTTTTATCTTTTCCAAACATTGTTTCCACATAAACACTGGCTGGTTGTGTGGCATGGGCTTGTAAAGCCAGTACTTGGGAGTTCAAAGTCATCCATGGCTACACAGAGTTGGTAACCAGCACTGTCCTGTACCACGCTATCTCAAAGAACCAAAATATAAAAAACATTAAAACAAGGGCTGCACACGTAGCACCAAGTAACCAACAGACTTGGCACACACTTGTCGTCTTTGTAGCAACTAGGAGGAACAGACTGCTGCCATTTCAGCCACATAGGAACTTCAGCATAGTTCAAAGCCAGACTCTGTCTCAAAGACAAGTGAACAAACAACAAAAGCATCTATTCTATCCCTGCCTTATAAAGGACAGAACACAAAGCAAGACAGCCAGGATATCTGAGCCAGGATATGTCCACTGTTGACAGGAAGTACCCAGACGTGAAGGCCCTAGGGTCTGATAAGGGATGCCTTTGCTATCCCAAGTCATATTGCTCCAGGTGGGCTTGGGAAAGCACATTCTGGAATCCAGAAGACTCAAGGTAAAACTGGCCCCTCTAATGACCAGGAGTCCAAATTCTTGGCTGGAGTCTCTCTCCTGTCCTAACAGTCAGAGGCCAGTAATTTGGCTCTGACGCAAACTCTACTCCCATCCTATCAAATTTAAATAAACACACGGGCACAGATCTCTAATTTTAAAAGATAAAAGTTTATTTGGGAATAAGATATAAGAATTTCAAACTAAAAAGTACATAGGCAAGAGATATTAGACCAAAAAGTAGAGCCTTTGGTTATTTTGCTCTGGTAATTTAAGACTTGTACTTTTGAAAAAGCAGTATAGGAACATTAGCTACAGGCCTGGTAACTCACGCCTGTAATCCCACAGTAGAGGTAACAGAAACAAGTTCAAAGCCAGCCCTGGGCCACACAGTAAACCCTAAGTGAGGCAGGGGGAAAAAAAATATTACATGTTCTATTTGCATTTTTAACATTTTAACACAAATCAGAAATACATAGTTCTTAATGCTGATGAACTCTCATTTCCAGCTTAGGTATAAAGAGCTTAAAGTTTTATTGACATATACAAACATTAACATTCCTTACTAAATTTAAACTGTGCTACCTAAAAGGTGGGCAGGTAAAAACAGTTTCTCCCTTTGTATTCTAAAACACAGTACCTTGCATCAGCCTTCATATAGTAACAGAGAACACCCTTTAACATATCTAGGGAGGCTTTCTTCACAGTCAGAACACAAATGCATTTGATTTTTCTGGTTGAAAGAGAATCATAAGAACAAATGAAAGGTGTTTGGGTCCACAATAATCTCTAGGGAAAATAATTCAATCAATTTCCAATCAAGCTCTTAAAATCATTCAAAAAACCTTTTGCATTTTATAATTGTTGTAAAGCATTTTATAAGTGTATTTATATAGTAAAAGGGGAAAAAAGTTGCCCCCATCTTAAGAAATCTCAAACTATCTCAACTCCAAGAACAAAAAACCTGAACATTAAGAGATTATCAGTGTTGTTTCCAACAAATTTCACCGACTGTCTGCAAGCATTGAGGACTTGGCAGACCAGGAGTGGTGGCTTTTACTAGGCAAAGTTAATCTTAAAAGTCATATCTAACAGTTCTGGTGATGCTTGTCTAATCAAAATGTTCTCACCTCTAAGGCAGGCCAGCAGACTGTTTTCCATGACTGTCAGCTCTGTGAGAGAGTTCTGGAATCAGCTGAAATATTTTCTCCTTATCCCTTTAGTTGAATGTAATGTGACTTAATTAAAGTCACTCACTCTGTATAAAGAGTTTTCCCACCCACAACAGGGCAAGCAGTTCTCAGCCTTGGTACCATAACTCTGCAAGGTGTCAAGCTTGGGCAAAAAGTTTAGCAACTGTATGGCGGTTAGTCCTCGCCCCCAAATACCGTAATCAATGCACAGACGTCTCTGTCTCGGGAGTCTCTGGTTGGTCTGAGCCTCTTTCCTTCAGGTGTAGCTTGTCTGGCTTTTCGGGTATCTCCATCATCTTGGGTGTCTGGGTGTATCGGCTAGTGCAAACTCGTAGCTTCGGCGCAGAGTTGCACTTCTGGCAAGCGGTTTGGTTCTGAGGCCGGCTGGAGGTTTTGGCATCTTCTTGCACCTTCCAGGTCACCAGCTGCATGCAGGCGCAGGCATCCTCGATGGAGCTGTGTCCTCCGCTGTCGGTCTGGATCTTTTGGTTGAGGTACTGGGAGATGAGGCCCCGCAAGGAGCGCTTGCAGGGGAGGCCTCGGTGATGCGGGAAGAGAACGGCCGTGTCCACCACCGTACTATGGATGAACTTCAAAGCCAGCAGGTCACTCTCAAGGCTGTGTCCAATGAGGATGGTTTCAGTGCTGAACAGGCTAAGGAGCACGGCCTGGACATCACGCAGCCTAACGTTGGTGCTCGCCAAGTCCGCCTCGGTCACGCCAGAAAACATGGTGTTGTAGTCCACGATCTCATTGTCGGGCTTGACGAAGGTGTCGTAAATCACGTGCAAATCCGTGTCCACCACTGTGACGCGGGTGAGCTCCAGGCCATGCGTAGTGTAGGACATCTCGCAGTCCAGGGCGTAGATTCCTGCGTGTGCCTCCCAGTCCTTCTTCGGGAAGGTCTTGGCGAAGCCCTGCAAGTTGTCCTTCCTGCCGTCCTGCACGTGTTGCTTGGCTACCTTGCAGCCCGTGGCTTCGATGGGCGCGTGGCAGCACGAGTACCGGGCTTGCCAGCCTCCGGACACGGGGATGGAGACAAGACGCCCCCAGTGGTACACGCAGGGCTCGGAGCAGAGGCAGCAGCCAGAGGATGACACGCGGTACTCGGTGCCACAGCGGCAGCAGGTCCTGAGCGTCGGGCTCCGCGGCTGCTCTCGCATGGAGAGCACTGCCAAGCCGGGCTTCTCCGGATGCGGGAACGGGTAGCCGTGCATTCTGCGCTGCTCCTCCGTGAGCACGTAGCCTTGCAGGCGGCTGTACAACGTGGCCTTGCTGAGACCCGGGACGGCGCTGGGAACCAGGCCCCTGAGCTTCTTCAGGGTGTGCAGGGCGACGTTCAGGTACCTGTTCTTGCCGGGACTTCGGTCGTAGACCACCTTCTCCTCTGACTGCGCCTTCTCGATGGCCTCCAGGTACGAAGAGGAGAACTTAAGGTACTCCTCGGTGAACAGGCCCAAGTAGTGCTGACGCATGGCAGCGGGGATCTTGTCCTTGAATTCCTTGGTGAGGCTGGGCTTCTTCGCTCCAAATAAAGAATAGCTGTAGGCAGCTTGCTGCGGGGTGAAGATGTAGGTGTTGAAAAATGGCGGCAGGGCCACGGTTCTGCTGCTGCCGGAGGTCCTCTTGGCAGCTGTGGGGGTGTTGGCCAGGGTGGGACTGGCCATGCGGATGAGCCTCCTCTTCTCTCCCTCCGAGGCTGAGGACAGCAAGGATGACAAAGACGATGACAACGGCGACGACTCAGAGCGTAGGATCTTCCTCCCAACCTCCTGGGGTCGCCAGAACAGCAGCTCCCAAGGAGTCACAAGCCAGCCGCGGTGCGCCCCGGGGCCAGGCCTCAGCGAAGGCACCTGGACCACAACGAACTGGGTGGGCTGGCAATATGTTGAAGGGCACTGGTAGCAAAACAGCAGGATGTCCCCGACTGGTTGGGCCACGACCCTCCTGGCTTCGGGATGCCCTGGTGGGAACCAACATTCTGCTGTGGCTTTCAGGCTCATGCTGCCCTTAGAGACGCAGCTCCTGAGCGAGCAACTCGTCTACCTGAGTGCGAGTGAAAGCCCAGGCTTCGGAGCAGCGCCTATTTAAAGGGCGGTGAGCGGAAATCCCTCTCTGACCGCATCCAATCATATTTGGTCTACTATCCTCTAGACAGCTTCCGTAATATTGGGCTCCTCCTACCAGGAAGGAATTGGAATTCAGGTTCCACTTTGTCCTCATGTTTGTTTGGTTTTTATTTTATTATATATCTTTATTAATTTCTTTTGAGATGTCCATACATTGCATTTCAGTCCTAATCGTCATCATTCTCCAATACCTTCTAGAACCACCCCCCCCCTTCTATATCCATGGCACTTTGTTTCCTCGATTTATTTTAAACCCGGAGTCCAGTTTCTACAGCTCATGTACTCTTGGATGTGTGGCCATGCCCTGAGGTTATGATTATATTTTGGGTGATTGTGCTCCCTTCCTTTCCCCTATTCCTCTTCCTCTTTACTCCCCCCTCCCCTCTGTCTTCGTCATTCTTCTCTCTCCCTCCTTCTCTTCCTCCCTCCCCTTTCTTCCATTTCTGAGACAGTGTCGATATGCCCACCTTGAATGCATGAGCTCTTGCTTCAGCTCCCTGAATGCTGAGAGAAGGGCCTTCTCTGCCATGGGCAAATCGATTTGAAATTCCAGACCTTGGAATCAGGCTTTTGGTCCTGAGTGATCCTACAGCCTTATAACCACTATCATCTTGAGGTCACACAGAAAGAAACTAAGGCCAGCAGACTTCATGCACTTTACCCAGGCTCACACAGCATCTCTGGCCAGGTAAGCTGATCTCCACTTCCAGGGACTCTGTGGCTCTGGGGTTACCAACAGCACTTGAACAATGACGGAGATGAACGAGAAGTAAAATAGCATAAATACTTAAACTATTCTTAAACTTAAAACTTTGTCTCAAAAGAGAAAGATGTAAACTGCATTTTCATTAATTTCAAAATTACAAATCAATTAGATCCTAAGGTGGCAGTTTACTCAGGAAACGCTGGAACTTGATCTCAGACCTCCTGATTGAATCTTTGTGCATGCAAATACTGCTGTGTGGACGGAGATAATTTACACAGACTCCCTACGGGCTTTTTTTTTTTTTTTTCAACAATGGGATTTTTGAAGGGATAAATTTTATTTTGTAAATTCTTATGGGATGCATACTCTAGGTTAAACACACTGAGAGCGTTAATGTCATCAATTTGAGTGTATCTGTAATCCTAGGAGACACACTGTCAGGTGCAATTGTGAATGATTAGATTAGGGATTAATTCAATTCGGTTAACTGAGTTGGGAAATCTGCCCACGACATGAGAGCAGCATCATTCCCTAGGCATGGGCCTTGAATGGCTTAAAATGGAGGAATCCAGCTATACACCCTCAGGAACCGAGCTCCTCCTAACTGCCCACCACAGGATCAACTTCCTCAAGCTCCTGACTGACTTTCTCATCAAAATGGACTACACCCTTGAGTTGTGAGCCAAAAGAAACACTTTCTTTCCGAAATTGGTTTTGCTAGGGTATTTTTAAAGTAATTTTTCCATACAATTTATTTTGATCATGTTTTCCCTCCCCCAAACCACCAGATCTTCCCCACCTCACTACCAACCAAAGTTCGTGTCCCTTTTCTCCAAAAACTAAAAATTAAAAAAATAAAAATAAAAACAAACAAAATACCAATAAAATTACTAAAATGAAACCAAAAAACTCCACAAAAACAATAACAAATCTTTTAGTCTATTTTGCGTTGACCACCTACTACTCCTGGCTATCCTTGGAGTGTGGCTGAGGTACCCAACTGTGCGGTATTTTACCACAGTGACAGGAAAAGTAATGAAGAGAGTAGATGGGGGAGGGGGCCAGGGGAGGAGGAGGTTTTGAGGTTTCAAAAGACTTGGGCACCATTTCATGTTAGTTAACTTTCCTGCCTCCTGCTTACAATTCAAGATGTGAGCTCTGAACTATCCCTGCCTTCATGTCTCACTCTGCCATCATGGACTCTAAGCTTCTAGATCCATAAGCCCAAATTAAACGTTTTCTTTTGTAAGTTGTCTTGGCCATGGTGATTTTTTTATTTATTTTTGAATTTGTAATGTAACTACATTAATTCTTCCTTCTCTTTCCTCACTCCAAACACTCACATATCCCTCTCCTTACTGTCTTTTAAATTCATGACATTTTTTAATCATTAGTTTTGTTACAGGCATATATGTACATACATATATATTCCAAAAAACAACATGCTTGGCCTGTATAATATTACTTGTATATATGTTTTCAGGACTGACCAGGTGTTGGGATCTACATTCTGAGTTCTAAGATCAGAATAGTGCCTTCAATGGGCCATCAGTCATGCTAAGGTCTGGGGCCTGTTAACCCGCTCCAGAATTTGTTAGTTGTTTTGCTGATCTTCAGGGTTCTTCTAGGTTAAGATTAAATCTCAAAGTTCTAATTTTCATTTTCCTAATTTCTAGGGACAACGAACCTTGTTTTTAGATATTTCTTAGCCCCTTAACCCCCCCTGTTTGTTGTTGTTGTTTTTGTTTTATTGGGGGGGGGGGTTCCCAGACATGGTTTTTCTGTGTAGCCTTGGCTATCCTGGACTCACTCTGAAGACCAGGCTGGACTCAGAGATCTGCCTGTCTCTGCCTTCCTGAGTGCCGGGATTACAGGTGTGTGCCACCACTCCAAGCTTGTTTTTTTGTTTTTTTGTTTTTTTGTTTTACGAACTCTCTGTTCAGTCTCCAGGCCTTTTTGAATGGGTCATTTGGGTATTATTATTTTTATTATTTGTTTGCTTAGTTCTTTTTGTTGTTGTTGTTGTTTGTTTTTTTAAGACACGGTTTCTCTGTGTCAGGGTTTCTAGCTATCCTGAAATTCACTCTGTAGACCAGGCTGGCTTAGAACTCAGAGATTCTCCTGCCTCTGCCTCCCAAGGGCATGACCACCCTTTTTAGTTCTTTATATGTTCTGGATATTAATCCTGTATCAGATGTATAGCTGGCATGGATTCCTTCCTATTTTGTGATCTGTGTCTTCACCTGCTTAATTTTTTCTTTAGCTGTGTAGAAACTTTTTAGTTTTATGAAGTTCTATTTGTCAATTGAATTCTTAATTAATTAATTCTCAATTAATTCTTAATTATTGGGCAAATGGAGTCCTATTCAGAAAGTCCTCTCCTACACCTGTATCATTTACACACTACCTATTTTTTTCTTCTAGCAGTTTCAATGTTTCAAGTTTCACATTTAGGTCTTTGATCCAATTGGAGTTGAGTTTTGTGCAGTGATAAGTATGGATGTTATTTCATTATTCTATATGTGGTCATCCAGCTTTCCCAGTACCATTTGTTGAAGATGCTTTTTTTTTCCCTCCAGCTTCAGTTTTTGGCATCTTCATCAAATGTTAAATGGCTGAAATTATTCATGTTTCAGCTTTCGATTTTGTTCTGTTGGTCTGTTTATTTGCCTGTACCATATTGTTTTTACTACTAAGGTTCTGAAATATATCTTAAGATCTGGATTTGCTATCCCACAAGTGTTGTTCTTTTTGTTCAAGCTTGTTTGGGCTATATGGGAACTTGTGTGGTTCCATATGAAATTTAGAATAGTATTTTTCTATTTTCTTGAAGAATAATGTTCAGAGCTGAACTGATCCATGGCTCTCTCAAGAGACTCTAATGAAAGGACGAAGGGAGCATAACTCTGTGTCCTTACTTAAGAGTAGGCTTGGAAAGGCTATTCTGGGGCTGAGGCCAGGCCTTAAAAGAGTTAAGGTTTCAGTTCCAGGGAACATAGGAATCCCCACCCCTAACCCAAGAGACTGGAACTATTAGTCCCAAGGCTGCCATGTGCTCAGTCTATAATGTTCATGAGATACCTTGTGTTTCCTCTGTGAACCATTGCTTGATTAACCTTTCTGACTTTCTCCCATTGTATGATAGCTTCTGCAGACTCTGTCCCGTTTCTTCCCTGGAAATAGTACATAAGATGCTGTACTTCCAATAGTCTGGGGTCAGTTGGTATGGGAGGAGGGCTCCCCCTTTCTGAGGACAAAGGGACGGGGGGAGAAGGGAAGTGAGGACCCAGAGGAGATGAGGGAGGGGACTATAATCAGGATATAAATTAATAAAAGAAAAAAAGAAAAAAAATCCCAAAACAAAAGCATGCCTCTCTCTCTGTCTCTTTTGGTTTTTTGAGACAGTGTTTCTCTGTGTAGCCTTGTCTGTCCTGGCCTTGCTTTGTATGTAGACTAGGCTGGCCTCAAACTCAAAAAGATCCACCTGCCTCTGCCTCTCTGAATGCTAGGATTACAGGTGTGTACCACCATGCCTGGCTGATAGTGTACTTCTTAATAAGACATAGCTTAGCATAAGACATAGCTAATGCAAGACCTCCTCACCCCAGCTTTTCTAGCTCCTTATCTTCTGACCTGGTCTCTCTCTCAGTACTGTCACTGAAGAATTGCCTGCTGGTAAAGGTCAAACAAGATGGGGATTTTGTAGTTGTTGTGTCTTTACCTAGTCTTGGTTTTAGAGTGATACTGACTTCATAAAAAGAGTTTGTGAACACTCCTTTGGTTTCATTTTGTTTGTTTGTTTGTTTCTTTGTTTGGCTTTTGGTTTTGTTTTGTTTGTTTGTTTTTACTATTTTAAGAGGGACTGGTTGTATATAATCCTTGATTGTCTGGTAGGATTCTTGTCTGAAGCCATCTGGCCCTGAATGTATTTTAAAGCTGGTAGATTTTTTATTACTATTTCAATCTCATTTGTTATGGGTCTATTTAGGTTGTTGACTTCATCTTGGTTTAATTTTAGTGATTTGGCTGAATCTAAAAATCCATCTATTTCTTTGAGATTTTCCAGATTAGTGGAGTGCAGGTTTTTAAAATATTCCCTTATAATGTTCTGAATTTCTTTAGTGTCTGTTGTTTTTGTTTGTTTCTATTTCGTTGGTTTATGATCTGA